GACCGGTCGACCCAAGGGCCAGGCTGGGTGGTGGGCGGCCCGTTTCCCGGCGACGCCCACGGCGGCAGGCCTTGCATTGGAGCTGAGTGGCATTAAGGGACCTCCATTTTGGGCAGGACCATGTGCTCAGCAAGGGCTCCTTCCCGGAAGGAGCCTCTGCTAGCCACACCCAGGATTTCTCTGGACTAACCAATAGTAATCAAGGGAAGTGCACGCCATCACTATGACTACATCCTGTGTAATGGGACACCAACTCGCACCTGGCCAATTGGCGGGGGGCACAGTCCCCTCTCCCGCCCCTACTCCAACCCTCTATAAAACTCCTGGTTCTATCGGGCCGCTTCCTCTTTTGCCACTTGCTGCTGTGTCAGTAAGGAAGGTAAGGGAGCCAAGCCCGGGCTTGAAATAAAAGACTCTTTGCTTTTGCATCGGACTGGCTGGCTCCCTGATGGACTCTTGGGAATCTTGAAATCTGGGCATAACATAATGATTCCTTGAGGAAATAAATATATAGCATGTATCACATCCTACTCTTTATGTTGGTTCATTTAGCTGTTGTTTCACTTGTGAGAAGGATTGAGTGGCTTATTGGTGTTTCTGTAGTCTCAGCACCTACCAAATGCCAGGGGCATTTTATGTGTTTAGTCAAGTTTGTTCAGCAAATAATTTTATATGTATCGTTATCTTTCCTTCTGACAGTGGAAGATGTCTTCCCTGATGAATTTGTACATTTTCCAAATGTTCACACTGCTAATTGGTCACATAGTCTGAGGGCACCTAATAAGTACCTGTTAACAGTGCTTCAGAGACTTGTATTAAAACCAATATGTGATTTACACCTGAACATGCTGCATATTTGATGTGTTCATGGGTAGTCATGTCATGTAAGGCACAAGGAATTTTAATGCACTTGTAATTTCACTTGTCAGGAAGCCAAGTCATTGATCATCTTTATAATCACCACAATGGATGACTCTAACTCTTGCAGAGAGGCAGTTATGGTTGCTGTCACAAAATGTGATCAATCATTTAAGAATTAATTTCAGTTCAATGTTTACAGATGAATTACATCATGCTTACCATTTGGATATCTGTTTTGCCTCATCACTTTTATGGCTTCTCTTATCTTTTTTGTGAGGCATGTTAAGCTCTCTGCCTATGAATTCGACCTAGTAAAACAGACCATTTGAGCCACACTAACATGTTCACATCTTGGGGGTGGGGGTGGGAATAATTAAACTACTCACCAGTTGAATGCAATTTAACACTGTGCAAGTTTACTAGGCAACACATTTATTCAGTCTAATGCACTCTGTTCTGATTTCTAACAACAGAAGCCAGCTGATTTTCACAGTCAATAACAATTTACAGATAAAAATCAATCCGTTTTACTTGACTGTATTGCAAAACACCTTATAAGTATCTATGTTTTTAGATATGTTTTTTTCAATGCAAACACGTTTAAAAATCTCAATTTGATTCGTTTGTGAAATATTTTAAAAGCCATTTTTCCTCACTTACCCCTCTTTTTCCAAGAATCCTTGCCCTTTTCCCCATTTCTCATGCCCCTTCTATTATGAATTTTCCTGTTTATATTTATTCTTAGTAAACAATCTTATTCAGGATCTTTTAAAGAGAGGCTTATGAAACTTCCATTTCTAAGTATGACAAAATGTATTTTATCAGACCTCTCCCTTTGAAAGCAGCAACATAAATCATGTATGGAATACAAAAACAAGGCCAGCAAAATTGTCTCTTGAAGTCATCAGAGAATAGCCTAGAATAGTCAAGACTTAACTGGCCAAATTCCAAAAGAACAGAAATGTCTCCAAATGAGGTGGTCAAGGCATTTGCTGATTTTTTAGTGATGCAGAACCGGAAGTTGAGCAGAAAGCACTGGCTCAATATATTTATTTGTCAGTCTTCCAGGATGAGGAGACAAAAATCAGAGTTCTGGGCTGCCAAGGCCACTAGGAAGTAGGAAACCTACGCCCTTTCTTCTGCTTTCCTCCTTCGAGCACTTGCACATTTGAAGATGAAAGAAAAGGGAGGTCAAGAAGCCAAGCATGAGGGAAAATGGAGAGGCCAAAAGCTAAGGAGAACTCCTGGTCATCTTCTTTCGCCGAAAAGATAAAATGGTGAGTTCAGAGCCAACCAAGAAGAAAGGGCTTGAATAAACAGCCCAGGCTTTCCACTGCCACCTCTGTAAAACACTCTAGGACAGTGATTTCAACCTCTTTTATCTCATGGCACACAAACTAATTACCACATTTCTGTAGCACACCAAAATAGATGCTATATTTTTTGCCAATCTGACAAAAAATAAAGGTATAATTTTGATTCATTCACACTGGATGGCTATTGTTGTGTTGGCTGTTGTCATTTTTTTCATTTGACAATCTAAGGGAAAGGAGGTCAGTGCCCCTGACTCTAGAGTCAGGTACTGAATGTTCTTAAATCCTTGCAGCACACTGGCTGAAAATTGCTGCACTAAAAGTAAAAGCAAACTAGGTCTAGATCAGACCTCAGTAATTTGAAACCCCACCTCAAACCATTTGCTCTCAGATGGGTGCAAAATAATCTGGTCCCACTTGGTTGACTTTTCTAAAGAAAATTCTGAGGGACGATTTCGTCATCTCTAGTCTCTACGGCGTCTTTCTCTAATGATCTAACATCACCAAGGCATGCCTGAAGACAGGATCAAAAAGAAAGATAAAAAAAATAGACAATAAAAAAACCCTCCATTATCCAGATATGGGAATTTTCAGACATGAACATGAAAATAATTTCAATTTATATATTTGAGAAAATAAAGAAAATATTACAAATCTCAACAGAGTAATAGAATCTATATTAGGTTCAAATGGACATTCTAGAACGAAAAAGTGCAGTGGCTAACATGAAGAAATTAACAGATAACTTTGCTGATTAAACAGAGCAAAAGAGATCACAGACAATATCTACCCTGAAGATTGGAAATGAACAAAGGAAGAGAAAAAAGTGTCATAACTATATGAAAGTTAGCAACATAAATGATGTTCTAACCTACTTTGTTCTGAAGTCCAAGTAAAAGCAAAGCATGAAAATAGCACAGGACCAACATTTAAAGAGCTACCGTCTTGGAATTTTTCAGCACTGACATAAAACATTGTGTCACAGCGTCAAGGAGCTCTACAAAGAGGCTCATTTTAAAACTCTTCCAAGCACGTGTCATGCATTCTTTGCAGTGTCCTTTTGTGATGTTTGATATCTTCCTGTATCCAATTCCTTTTTATCTCCCGGCATCTTTTTGCCAATCACATTTACTGTATCCCTGCATAGATACTGTGCATAGATAAGAGAATCATCATAGTCCAAGTGACCAATAGCAATGTGGCTGCTTCTCATTGTGGACAAGAATAAATGCTTTGAGATAAAACATGACATCTCCTTTATACAGCTAATTGTATAATAACCCACTGCGGCACAGAGGGAGGAGACAAATTGATTCTTAACCTATGATAGTAATTAGCTTTTATGCCTGAGACTAAAGATTTATAGTAGCTCTTAATAGCTGTCTGAAGCCAGTGGAAAAGACTCATTAGCATATCTACTGTAAGGGAGTTTTACTCGGGGCCAATCAGAAACTCGGCTTTGTGAATATGTATGTGACCATGTGGAATGTGTTATTTTTGCCCATATCTCTTTCTTCTATGGAAATGCACCTATTTAATAAGAAATTTTACATTTAAAAATAAAGAGAAAATATAGATCTCCCAATGGGATGTTTTGAGGATTTCCTTTATATATGAGCATGCCCAAATGTATCTTGCACGGAAATGTGTTTTGTAATAATTCAGTATTGTCTTAAATGCATTGCTTTGTGATTCTCCAGTGATTGGATATATGGTTTCTCCAAAACTATGAGGATAAGTCACTTGAAGACTCCCATCGCATCCTCCTAAAGTGTCAGTACTTTTACATCATTTGTTACAAACTCACTATATACATCTCTTTCTCAGACATGCCTTTCAGGTATAGTTCTTCTCATCTTATTTGGAAGCCTACTCATGGAAATAATTTAAATGCTCTGATTTTGTGTCCATTTTGGCCTTGTTCTATTTGACTTCTCAAGATCAATAGGTGCTAATAATCAAATGTATTTGCTTGACAGTGTTAAACAAAACAAGCAACCCTGTTCTCATATACCCTTGTAATTATAGGTATGCACATTTAGCCAAGTACTCCAAATTGTGTTCTCCAGTCTTTGGGAATCTCTCGCTGAATCACAGGTTTGCAATGTGTTCTCTGCAAGACTTCTTTGAAGGAGTTGTATTCAGGTAGAAGTTTCCATCTGTAGATAATCCCCACTAATAGAAGGTATGAGCTCAGGTGTAAGAGAAAGCTCTTTTTTAAATCTACATAAAGCATTCACCCAAGATTATACTGTTCTTGTAAACTAGGTCAGCTTTTACTCATTCTGAATTGTGTTTGACTTTTAATGTTCACTCTCTGACACAGTAGGATGAATTGTGCAACACCAATAAGCACGTTAAAAATAAACAACACAAAACCTTCAATGCAGTGCCACATTCCTGAAGTTTCTATCCAACGTTCATATCAGTTTTTAGATATTTTTGGAGAGTAGGTGGGATAAAATAAACACTTCCTAGCATTATTGTGTGTCTCCTTTCAGCATTTTAACTAAAAAGAAATACAAATATACATATATCTTA